TGTCAGAGCAATATCATCACATGCCATGTAACCTCTGGGAAACGCCACTGTATGCTTGTGAGAGAATGCCAGTGAAAAAGGAAAATGATGTCTCAGGGTTACTATGAAAATAGTTTTGGAGTCTCAAGCCCCTTGAAATGGGCTCAAGGAACTATAATTCCTAGACCAACTTTGACAACCGCTGCCCTAGACGAAGTCTAGGCACCAGGTATATCTAAGAATGTTTATAGCAGCATTCTACATAATAGTAAAATCTAGAAAGAACCCCAAATCCATCAACTGGCATTTTCATTCTGTGAGCTACAACACAGCTATAAAAAGGAATCAGTTACAGTATGAATGACACTTCAGCAACAGAAGCAAGTCATGGAAAAAGAATATTCAGCTTTTATTGATATTTCAAGTTCAAAAAAGAGGTAAACTTAATAGAGTACTGGTGAGGAATACGTCACAGGTGGTAAAGCTAATGAAAAGCAAGAGAACGAGTAACTGGCAAATGTAGCATAAGCAGCTGCCCTGTGAATGGCCGGCTTGAGGATACCCACAAAGTTCTTTTTCTTTTGTTGAATAGTGAGTACATGGGTGTTTATTTCATTCATGTTTTATACATTTTGTACATAAAAGATATTTCAAAATTAAAAATAAGAGGCCAAGACAAAACAAAAAGACTAGAAAAGGTTATTGGATGAGAGACAATTATTAAACTTAACAGCAATGGGAGAAACCACAAAGGAATGGGTGAGTTTGAATATTCAAAAAAGGGAAAAAGTCAAAGTGACATCAACAAGAAAAGCCCAAACCAATTTTAAAAGCCATACTAAAGAAAAAAGAATTTTAAACTACAAATGGATGTAAACATATGAAAAGAAGTTTATTCTCATTAGTAATCAAATGCAAACAAAGAAGCATGAGTTAAGAAATGATCCTAAAGCTGTGGTGAGACTAACACTTTCATATGTGCTGGTGGGAATGAATCGTGGTGCAACTTGCATGGAGGAGAATGAAGCATACATACGAAGTAGCTTCAAATGTTCACACTCTTCAAACCAGCAATTCTACTTTTACACATGACTCTTAAGGAAAAAATCTGAACTACTGTGCAAAATATGGTATTCACAAAAAACTGGAAAGAATCTAAACGTCCAAAAGGGACTTCTTCAGATAAAAGATAAGAAAATTCTCTTTTATTTATAGAACTGAATATTAAGTAGTAATGTAAAACGTGGCTTACTTCGTAATATGGGGAAATAAGAACATGGCAATAAAAACATGCAACACAGAAAAACTACATACAGAATGACCTTTAACTATTTTTTTTTAACGTATAGAAAGGCCAGAAAAAAATGCACCCACTGTTAGAAGAGCTATCTCTGGATGATAAGCTTATGGGAGATTCTCCAGACTGTTTCTGGCATCACCCAAATTTATTTAAATGAATTCATATACTTATAGAGTCAGAAAACAAACCTAAAATTACAAAACCCACAAACCTCTCAGTTGCCCTTCCAACTCAATAAAGTACAAACGCATCGCTTTGGTGGCCAAGGCTCTCTACGCTATATTCCCACTGTTTTTAGGCAGGTATGCTTACACTCCTTAAGGCTCATCAAAGCGGACTTCCTATGGCTTCCCGAACAAGCCCCACACCTTCTCACTTAAGCATCTCAGCTTGGACTATTTGAGCCACCTGGATCACATTCTCTACCTAGCCGAATTCTAGCATCTTCCAAAGTTCTTGAGAAACACCACCTTTTCTAAGAAGTTTTTTCTAACTCGGTGCTAACCCAGTCACCCCCACTAGATGTGATTTTTTCCTGCTCTTTGACTCCTACAGAAATGATTTTAGCACTCATTCCTCTTGATAGAGCTCTGTTTTAATGACTCTACTAGATTGTAGTAGTTCAGGAAGGGGCTCTATCCTTCTTTGGCTCTTTCTCTAATATTGACACACTGTTTCCCAGAATTAAGCACATAGTATGCGAGGAACTGAATACATTATTGTCACAAGGGATTAGTCTCTTTCCTTGGCCACAAGAAGGAGGAAGAGAGAAGGGAAAATGTTTCTCATTGGAGACTCAGCATGAAATTTCTTACAGAAACAATGAGGACAGAAACAGTAGTACTGCTACAACAATTACGGACTTAGATTTTATTCTTTTTGCAGCTGCAAATCTATCCATAATTGGTAACTTAATTTCTGTGGAAACAAAAACATGCTCGGAATTCCCAAGAACCTACCCCCCAAAGAGGTGTTGGAGTACAGCCAGTGTGTAAGGTAACATACTTGCAAATAGTAAATATTTTCCTTTAGGAAAAACATCATGTTTGCTTAAACCTGCCTTAAGCCTCTTCTGAAACAAAATATTGTTAACAATAAGAGAAAGGGGAAAATGAAAGACAGAGGAAGGAGGAAAGTGGATGTTCTCAACACCTAACTTATAAAAAGTAAACTTGAAAGGGAGAACACAGGCAAATCAAAAGGCCCTTTTCACCACTTTCCTACTCTACCTTTACCCAGTGCTGTATTTCAGGAAACAACTGAAACTTTAAGGGGAGAAAGTCTTTAAAGAATTTTTACTTTCCTTTCCAACGCAAGTCTTTAAATTAATTAAATTAATATTTGCAATGGCTATGCAGATAACTCACCCACATACATTCACACATACCCAGGTGTGACAAAACCCTCCCTATACTTAATGCCAGACAGTGCTTTACTTTGAAATAACACTGGTCTTTAGGAGACATTTTGTGAGGGCTGCTCTTTGCCAGATTTTGGTGGGGGAGGGGAGACGGTCAGGACAGCTCTTAATATAGACTTGGACTCATCTTCATATGTATGCATTTAAGCATTGCTGTATTCAATCAATGACTATGTATTCAGAGCTGTGATAAGTATACAGAGGCCAGTCAGACCCTGCCCTCAAGGCCCACAGGCTGCCCCAGACCCACAGACATTCTACTGAAGGAAATGAACAATAAGGAAACAAATGAACAGGGAATTACAGGTTATGGTAAGAGCCATAAAGGAGACAAGACAGGGAAGCTACTTAATAATTGGCAAACGCCTCTCAGATACATGTAAACCAAGATGGAAAAGAAAAGAAGAACGTAGCCATGCTCACTCCCTATGAAGAGCCTTCCAGGCACAGAGAACTGGAAAGGTCCCGAGATGGAAACAGACTCAGTCCATCTGAAGCGCATAAAAGCAGCAGTGTGGCTGGTCATGTTATTCAAACTCTGGGTCGCAATTGTAGGATGGGATGTCAATTTTGTGGGTCACTGTATCAGGGAGTCATAGGTTTTCAGCATAAGTATTCTTTAATGAACTTTTGCTTCAGTTATGTGTGTGCGTGTGCACTAAGTTACAACGTATAATACGTTTCTTCCTGTGGGCAGTGGTGAAATCTGTACTGAGCAAGAGGAGTAGTAACAGATGAGGATGGAGCTCATCCAGCTCGAGCATACATGGCCTCACAGTGTAGGCCACCATAAAGAATTGGGGTCTATGCTAAACACAGCAGAAAGGTACTGAAGGGTTTCAAGCTGGGGAGTGCCATGATCTAATTAGACATGACGGTGCTGCCAAAAGATCACTAGAGTGAATTCAGAAGACCTGAGCACCAGCCCCGGCCTAGCTACTAACACTAGGGCGTTTGAGCAAATCACTTCATCTCTCTAGAGCTCACTTTCTTCACTGTAAAAATGAGAAGGTTGGACCAAGATGACCTTCAAGATCTTATCTATCGCTAAATTCCATGACTATATCCTACTTCCTCCCTCGGGCCTAAGTAAATGACCATTAGGGAGAACTGGCTCATTAGGTCAAGTTCTGGGTTACTTCTTACAACGTTATAAACCATGTAGCTCTAAGAGTTACATTTCTACAGAAAGCAAGTTTTTAGAATTCTCTCTTTACTGGAACCAGCTATCTTATTAGAAATGAGATCTCTGGGCTACAAGTGAATCAAGTGCTTTTGCAACTCTCTGGTACAAAGTTTGGAATGTGAAGAAAACTGACAGGGAGGGATGAAAAGATTTACTGACTAGGTTATTCCGAACATACTTCTTTATTTGTTCTAGGTCATTAACTGACATACCATCTAGGGCAGTCTAAAGCTGTAGGGAACCTCCGCTCGGCACTAAAGTCAAGATGTAGAAGCTGAACTCCTTTCACATAACCAAAAAGACTACTGAGGAAAAATACTGAGAGCCTACTATATGCTAACCCCATGCTACACAGTTTGATATATGCCTTTTCATTTAATTCTCCTAACCTAAGTATTCACATTTCACACTTACGGAATCAGGGGCTCAGAGAAGGCAAGCAAGCTAGTAAGTGGCAGGGTCTGGATTAGAGTACTTATTCCATATTTATACTACATTATCCTGCAGGCTTCTGAAAATTACTGTACAAAGATTAAATCATCAGTTAAATACTGGACAACTCAAGTTATCTGTGACATCTGGACACAGAACGTTCACCCAATAAATCAATTCTGGACTCACAGGTACTTTGCTATGTACAGTGTGGGATGAAAAGATAAGAACTTGCTCCAGCACGAGAGGGCCTACTTCGTGGGGAGCCTGCTGGGTTGTAGGAAGTGCAATTAGGCAAAATGGCCGAGGAATTCAGATCCCCAATTAAGCACACGTGAGTAGTATTACAGCTGTTTCCAGGTTCATTTTCTCAATTGTTGCTCGTGAAAGGTCATCAGAGGTACAGTGTCACCTGAGCCGAGGGCCTGACAAGTGTCCTGCAAGTTCCATAAACTCGAGACGCTCAAAACACTTCCAACTTACGTTAACCCTTTAGGAATCAATGGACGCATCACTTGCCCAACTGGAGCAGTGTCCTTGCCATATTACGGAGCATAAAACCTGGGAAACGTGGAGGGCACGGTCCCTAACCCCGTGAGGATCGAAATGGTCCCTAATGACTCCAGCAAAGTTGGGGACGCTCATTGCACACCTGCCCTCAACACCGAGATTGCGGTACCCACCTGTCACATACTCAGCTTCGAACCTCCGTCGGACGTCAGAGATGAGCTTGGCTTTATTCTGGGCTTGATACTACAAGGGAGACACGAAGGGACGCTTAGACATTACACGCTCCATCCCACTTCCCCGCTGCCCAGCCCACCTGCACCTGGGCGCGCGGCCCCCGAGGCTTAGAGGCGGCTTCGGGGTCCGAGTTGGAGGGGCTCGGCAGCAGTACGGTCGGCTCCTCACCTCGGCCATGGTCGCGGTCGCGGACGTGACTGCAGCTGCCGTCGCCACTTCCACGACTGCGGTGCGACTATCTCATCACAGGGCAAGCCGGCCCGGACGTAAAAAGGGAAGGGCGGGAGGTGGAGGCGGTCGCGTGATAACGGAAGGCGGGCAGCAGCGCCGCCGCACCGCCCAATCCGGTGCGGCCGCCTGGGAATGGAGGCGGGACCAGGCCCTCAACCTGGCTTCCCATTCACTTCTTGCTCGGGCCCCGCCCCCCAAGGTCTCCTGCACTGCGGACCCGCCCCCGCCAACCGGCGGATCGCGGGCGCTTCCGTCTTCAAGCTCAGCCCTGGCTAGCTCCTCCTGCTTTTCGCTTTCACAACATTCCCCGGAGGCCTCGCCTCCTCAGCCTCCCTTGGCAACCCGGTTCTGGCCTCTAGGCAGGCTCCGCCTTCTCTGCGCTGGACGCAGCCTCCGGCCTGGGCCTCCCAAGATGCAGCGCGCGGGCGGGAGGTTTGGAGCCGCCTGGCACTGAGCGGGTTTGCGGCGTTGGGGACCTGGCGGCTGCGGTGTGCTAGAGCCTCACACGCTGAGGTAGGGCCGGCGGCGTGTTCCCTGACCCAGCCTTCGCCGAGGGGGTGGTGGCGGCGCAGGGTTTTGCTCCCCTAGTCCCTTTATTGCGGAAGAGC